CAGTTTCGTGATTCCTCTGTCTGAATTTGTGCCTTTCTGCTATTTCTTGCGGTCTGGGTTGTAAATGATTCTCCATTAATTTAATTAAATCGCTGAAAGCCATTTCTTCTGGTAATACAAGACTAGACAATTCAACCGTCAACTCGAAAGCTTCATCACCGACTACAGTTATTGAAATTGCTGTTTTTAAGATTTTCTTCCACTTGATTCACTATAAAATATTGACAAATTTTCTGAATTTCAACTCTGAATTGTTCTAATTTTCCAATGGATGACATTTTCTTCTTACAAAGTTAATTTTCACTTAATAATTAATTGACTTGATCGTTTACCAACTGCGCCAGTGTAATCATTTATTAAAAATAATTAAGTTATTTATTAATTCAGTTGTATATGTATTAATACAATGAACGCCAATTGAGAAATGCTTTATTCTGGTTTAAAATATATCGATACAACAATATATAGGTACAAAAACTAGCATAGATAAAATTCCTTAATATAAAAAACGTTTATATTTTACGGCCTGAATAATTTCATTTTCATTTTAATATTCATAAAAATATATTAAATATATTATACTTGTGTGTATACAGGGTGCTACAAATTCGAGGTTACGATTCGATGATTTAAGTATTCCAAAAACCACGGTCTTTAATATAATAAAAAAATACGGCGAATCTGCCAATGTAGGCATTAGAGGTAAAAGTTCGGGAAGGCCAACAGTTGTATCTCAGAGAGATTTACGAAATTTAGTAAAAATTTGCAAGTCTGCGAGAAGAAGTACTCTTCGCTAAGTAACAGTTAAATGGAATACTGTAACTGTATTAAATATATCAAGAGAATGTTGCCGAAAATATATCCATAAATGCGGTCTGGGGTTTTTACAAGGTAAACTTTATTTTGTCGGGATAATCAGTTACCTGAAGATTATTGATACAAATTCTTATTTAGGCCAAAGAAAAACCGCTACTGACAGAAATTCAAAAGAAAAATCGCTACAATTGGGCAAAATCTAAATTATCGTGGACACAAAATGATTGGAATAAGGTCATATTTAGCGATGAGTCTAAATTTGATGTTTGCGTTGGAGATCATCGAAAAAAGAATAATACGAAATAAAGCAGAAGCCTTTCATAAAGATTGCTTCAAGAGGGTTGTTAAATTTCCTAAGGCGATTATGGTTTGGGGTTGCATGTCAGCAAGAGGTTTGGGCAAATTAAATTTTATAGATGGCACTATATACTTGAGACCTCACTTTTGCCTAGTGCTCAAAAATTGTTTCCAAACGAAGACTATATATTTTCAACAAGATGGAGCATCGTGCCATTCAGCAAAATCAACTAAAAATTGGTTCGGTAATAATAATATAAAAAGTTCTATCCCCATCCTGCAAGTAGTCGGACCTCAATGTTATAGAAACTGTGTGGCATAAAATGAAGCAATATTTAAGAAACCACCTTCAACGAACAATTTTTGATTTGCGGACAAAACTGCAGGAAATTTGGGATAATTTTTCTCCTCAAATATGCCAATCTTTGGTAAATACAATGCCATTAAGAGTTCAGGCAGTTGTTAAGGCGAAAGGTGATGTAACTCCGTATTATATAGTTGTCAGCAAATTTGGCTTCATTTTGGCAAAATAAGCTATTATCAAAAGTTATTTGTTTGCAAAGTTATAAAAATATAGTAAAATTGTCTAGATCAGATTGTCTGAACAGTTAGAAAATGCTCAAATCGTATTTTTAATAATATCTCAATTTTTTCAAACGGAACAAGGGTGGCTCATTAGCATATTTGGAAAAAGCATTTTTTTACGAATAATTTGATAACACACATTTGGTATTTCGAGGCAAATTTTCGTTACGAACCGCAAGTTATAATTTCAAATAAACCATATGCGAAAATGTCAAAAGTTGACATATGATATCTCACTCTATTCAGAGTGTTATTTTCAATAGAGTAAAGTAAAAAAATACCGAAGGTGCCATTTGAAAATCAAAAGCTGTAGTCATTTCCGAAAACAATTGAATACGTCAATCAATTCTAATTTATATCATATACTAACATACCAAATCTCGTTTTTTAACTGAAAAAATAAAAACAGTTATAGGGGTGAGCCACTTTTGAGACGCACCCGGTATATATAAGGGTTTAAAATCCCTACCATTGATCGAAAAAAAAACAGCGTCCCGTTGGCTTGGAAATGGCGATCGATGACATTCTCCATATATTTTTCCATATAAAATGACAGCGATCTTCATTTCATAGCCATCACTGACCGTTTTTTTTTCTGATGGTAGTTGTATGGTAGTATAGTCTGTGAAACGAATAACTTTGAATTTGACAGTTCCCGCGGGCTTTTCTAGTGTAAATTTTATTAGGTTAGCAACTTGCGGCCATGCTGATGCAATGCCGTCTCTAATAGAACAGCCTCCGAGCGAGATTATGACGTCACGCTAGTTAGATACTACGGATTAATTATGTTGTAGAATACATGGAAAACATAATTGTTCCTCGTATATGTAATTTTTGGAATATATTCGACACTATTTTTTTTCTATGACACAACACTGATAAAGGCTATAAACGTTAGCTATAACGTTTTTTAAAAGCAAAAAAATAATGAAAAACCAAATGAAAACTTAATCAGCGTTTTTCCCGAACCTAAATGCCTAAGCGATGTCTGAAAGTAATTAAGAATAAGGGTTATTACACTAAGTACTAGTAAATTATAAGTTAATTTTTCAGTTTTTGTTAACATAAGATTTTTTTTTATTAAATATATATTTTGTTCATCTACTTTTGTCCAATAGTTTTTTCAATTTAAATTTTTTGCTACCTTATTAAAGCACATTTTTTTAAAAAAACAATGCTATTTATTTTTATAGCACTGACACTCGACTTCAAGTAAATATAGCTCAAATTTTAATTTTAAACATATTAGGAAAAACCCATTATTTTAACAAAGTTCATCCACTTATGGCCAATACTGTATACAGGGCACAACAATAAGACGAAGTTTTTTGCCCGAACTTTGTAACACTCTGTAGGGTGCAGCAGCTGTAGTAGCTATTGCTAAATCAAATCATATTGTAGCCTCGTAAAGCAGCGTATCTCCAATACAAACAGAGATAAAGTCGTGGTTAAAAAAACAAAATGCTCACAAAAGATGAGGCTGCAATGTGATTTGATTTGATCAAAATCTATGAAAAATAAGTCTTATTTTTACGTAAGAAATCTTCCCACGAGAGATGGCACATGTTTTTTGAGACACCCTGTATTTTTATCACACCTCAATTAGGGAAATTTAATGCAAAATCCACTTATTCGCTTTTATGTTGTTTGTACAGGGTGGTCGAAATTGTGGTCTGTTTTATCAGAGAAACCCTATTTCCTGACTAGGTAGAGCAAAACCGACATAGAAGTCATGGGCTCGATTTCTGAAACACGTTTAATGGCGTAAACCGCCTGTTGATATTTTCAGTGCCAACTGAGATACGGGGTCTTTTTGAATTTTTTACCATTTGGAAAATTGCCCATAACTTTTGTATTTCGCGGAATAATAAAATTCTATAAAAACGTTCTTAATGCACTTTTTTAAGCACAATTCAGTGGCGTAGTCAGTTTTTTCCTATACTTGCTCTTTTTGTCAGAAATAATAAAAAATATATTTTTTTTAGATTGTGCTTAAAAAAGTGCCTTAAGAACGTCTTCACAGAATTTTATTATTCCGCGAAATAAAAAAGTTTATATATAGGCATTTTTAAAATGGTAAAAAATTCAAAAACACCCCGTAGCTCAGTCGACAGTGAAAATATCAACAGGCGGTTTATGCCATTAAACACGTGTTTCAGAAATCGAGCCCATGACATCTATGTCGCTTTTGCTCTATCTAGTCAGGAAATAGGGTTTCTCTGTTAAAACAGAACAATTTTGACCACCCTGTACATTGCTAGGTATCTTTCAGTCTTGAAAATAATTTACAGCAATTTTTCTAGGTTGATACATTTAAATATTATTTTCCCCAAATTCGATATGTCTATTTTTGAACCACTCCGTGCATTAAAACGATCAATTTACTTTATTTTAGCAACCTCAGTACCGGCAGCAGTTGATAAGCATGCAGCAGATGGGTGGCAACAATAGCAGAGGCCAGATGGGTCAGCAACAGATGCCTAATCCTCAGGCTGGCCAACCTAACCAGTTCGACGAAGTGCCGGGGTTCGATTTCAACGAATTAAATAAGTTTTAAGTATGAAGAAGTAAAAATGTAAATATGAATAAATGTATATAGTAAAGATTAAGGTATATATTTATAAAGTAACCGTATTAACTCCAAACTGCATTTTGTGATGCCAAGCCGGCGAAATGGGTATACAGGGTGTCATTGAAATGGTGTAAAAAAAATCAGGGGGTAATAGTACTCCTAAAAACAGTAAAAAAAGTTCCTATAAGTATAGGGCGGAAAATGCATATTAAGGGAGTTAGGGGCACTGAAAAGGTGAATTTAAAAAACGGTTGTTTTAAAATTGTAGGCTTAAAGAACGAGATAAAATTTCGAAAAAAAATCCTATATATAATATATCCTCCTAGTTTTCAAAAAATAAATCCACGTTGCAAAAAAAATAACCTCAAAAAAGTTATTCGCGAAACAAGCCCCTACCCTTGCAAAAACTACCCTTTCCCCTTTTCCAAACAATTTTTCAGTATCACCATTTGATTTCGGGTCAAAATTTATGGTAGAGGATTTTTTTTCGAAATTTTATCTCGTTCTTTAAGCCTACAATTTTAAAACAACCGTTTTTTAAATTCACCTTTTCAGTGCCCCTGCATTTTCCACCCTATACTTATAGGAACTTTTTTTACTATTTTTAGGAGTACTATCACCCCCCCCGATTTTTTTACACCATTTCAATGACACCCTGTATACTGCCCCTAAAATATATCGATTCTTGAGAACATCTCTAATTAAAACACAATTAATTATTTTTGTCATTATTTGATACGTATCGTTTATATTTAATATAAAACTGTATCAATTACAATTAAAATTTCTTGGTTTATAGTATCTTCCACTACACGCTTCGTGGTATCTTCCAGACTTATTGCTTTCATAATTTGTATGATTGTAACGGAACTTATTAACTGGATAAAATACTGAATGATCTGGATTAGAACTCTGACATCTTCCATTTAATTTTTTACTTTTTTCCAACTTTTGTACCACTTCTTTCACTTTGCCTCTTTGCATAAGATCGGCTTTAAGTAGTTCAAAACATCCCGGACTTGTAGACGTTTCGTTGGTGTTCGATGGGCATATAATAGCTGAGTTACTGCTTTTAAAAGATTTTGGATACTTAATTTTGGGCTTTGGACATATCCAATTATTTTCAGTAATGGGGGTTTCCTCTGTTTCACTAAAATAATAGCTTTTATAATTTCGAATTTTATTGTTTGCGCGAATCTGGCGAATGTGTTTTTCCAGCAACATTTTTGATGTTTGAACAGTTTTGTTCTTCAACAAAGGTTTATCATTAGGATAGCTAATAAATATATCCGGAAGTTTTTTAATCTCGTTCTGCTTCGAACAACATGTACAACGTTGACAAGTACGCGTCTTCTGGTACGTTTTATTCCCTACACAATCGCTACAGATACATCTACATTCTTCAGAATCGTCGTAACCTTCAGATGATTCAGATTTTCTTGAATGGCTTTCCGATGCAGATATTAAATCGTCTGTAGATACAGATGACTGATTATCAGTAATGGAGTTACTAAGACGATATGTTTGTTGGGACTTTTCCGACACAGCACTGTGATTGCCAGATTTTTTATCAAATGTGGGCGAATTTATAACTTGAGTACTATGATCTTCATGTAGTTTTGAGAGGAACCCATCGTTCAATGCTGAATTTTTCGAAATATGACTTTCTGAACCTTGAGAAGCAGCGTCTACAAATTGCTGACTAACAATTTCGTTTTGATTTGTATTTCCGTTATTTAATATTGAATTTGTTGAAGGACGTTTAAGATTTGAGGAAAATTTTGTTAGGCTTTCTTTTTCTTGAGTTGCGGAATGTAGTAATGGAGTAATAATTTCACTATTGTCAATTTTCTCTATTTTTGAATGATCGATTTGTTCTTCATTATTTAGATGATTAGTCTTTGTATTATCATTATCATCATGTTCATTTTTATCAATTTTCTCTATTTTTGAATGATCGAATTGTTCATTATTTAGATGATTAGTCTTTGTATTATCATTATCATCATGTTCATTTTTATCAATTTTCTCTATTTTTGAATGATCGATTTGTTCTTCATTATTTAGATGATTAGTCTTTGTATTATCATTATCATCATGTTCATTTTTTAAATTCTCATCGGTTTTATTTTGATCACCGTTTGATTTCTTTTCTTCCACGGGTTTATCAACATCTTCATTATTTCTTGATTCAGAATTAAGAAAGGCGTGCTTATTTTTCTGTTCTTCTTTGGAATCCTCGTCATTTTTAATTTTGACCTTTCTTAGTGCTTCGGGACAAGGACCACCAAACAATTCCCAGCAAGTATCTTCGCTTAACCCACTGTCAGAAGATTTGGCGCTCAAGTTATCAAGTAATGCCAGTGCTTCCGCTATTTCAATTTTATCAGTACGATTCATAACTATTACTGTACTAAAATTACGTAAAAGTTAATTGTATAATATATTTTAGATTATATTATTACGTAAATGCCTCCTTGAATTGCAAAATTTTAATTGGCTCTATCTAAATAACCACATATTACGATATTTCGATCTAATAACTCATTTATAAAGTATATTGATAGAATCGTTTACTGAAACTTTCTGAAATTGTATTATTTCTTCATACTGAAATAATCTAATCTGACTTTGACATTCAGTAAATACAGGGTCCGGCAATAGTGCGTCGGACATCTACTTTCTATAAATATCGCAATCTTAAATCATACAGGATGTTCAAAATTCTACGCCAAACATTCTAAAATATAAAATAGTTTTTCTTTGTTTTTTTTTTAAATGGAACGCCCTGTATATTATTTTTTTATTAGATGAAGAATTAAAAAATAAACATTTTTTGTATTTAAAGTATTTCAAAACTTTTAATGGTTTCGCAGATACACGTTATTATACCGCGAATATCTGCGAAACCGTTAATAATTTTGAAATACTCTATAAACATGTTCATTTTTTAATTCTCCATCGATTGAAAAAATAATATACAGGGTGTACCATTTAAAATAAAATCATCCCGAAACACACACACTTTTTTGAGCCACCCGATGGAAGTTAAAATATTTTCCTGAAATACATCCTAGAACATACTTTAGGTTAGTATGTAAACAAAATTCCCAAGTTTTTTATTCTAGGAGCTACACATGCCCGACGCACTAATGCCAGACCTTGTATAATCTATACAGGGTAGTACAAAGAATACGCCGAATAGCTACGAATTTAACAAAACATTACCAGAGACACATTACAAACCAATTACGTTATACAGGGTGTCCCAGAAATAAGTGCAAGTATTTTAAGGTGGTAGAGCTCGATAAAAGAAACATATTTTCTCTTTATCGTCTTTCAAGTAAGTCCAAAATAACGGAGTTATTTTGCTTCGAAAATTTCCAAAAAAAATGATTTTTTTGCTAAAATTTTGAGAACAACTGGATCTTTTCTGGATTTTCTTTCTTGTAAATTTAATCTAATACCTATGTTGCCATTTTATCAAGAAATAATTTTTTTTTACTAAAAACTAAAAAAATTTCCAAAAAATTTCGAATTTTCAAAATTTTTTTTCGCGAAAAAATACCTCATAGGCGTGTTTCTGGGGTTGAACTATACTACCAGTAAAAATACTTGCACTTATTTCTGGGACACCCTGTATAGTATATAGAGTACATAGTGCAATACGGAATGTCCGTTGGATTCAAATTTAATATTTTTAAAGGAGACACTCTGTATGAAATTTTCGATATTAATTCTGTTATCACGATAATTTTTAGGTTTTTTTTAGCTGGTTACTGTGAGGATAATTTAAAAAATTTCAACGGTTCAAAATTTTCTTGTTTTATTCTCACGTAGTTAAGAAATGGAATAATAAAAATATCCTATTTGTTACGAGTTGAAACTTTTTGGCATACCCCGTATAACAATCCAATACGTTATAGTTATTAAAATTTAGAAAATAAGGATAGCCGTCAGAGCTGCAACAAGTCAGTTTTAAAAAGACTTAACCCTTAAATTATCAACCCTTAAAACCTTTATTTATTATAACTTTTTATTTACCCTTAAAAATCAAAATGATTTAAGTCTTAGTCAATTTCAATATAAAGTTCAAATGACTTAAGTTTTAAGTCTTTGACTTAAGTCATTTTCTTTCAAGTCAAGTCATTTTTGTAAAGACTTAAATCTTTTAAAAGATTTAACTTTTTTATAAAATGACTTAAGTCGTTAAAAAAAGATTAAATCTTTTTTACTGACTTAAATATTTTCTAAAAAGACTTAAATCTCATAAAATATTTAAATCTTCTAAAAGATTTAAGTCATTAAAAAAAGATTTAAATCTTTTTTGCTAAAAGATTTAAGTCTTTTTAGAAAAGATTTAAGTCATTAAAAAGATTTAAATCTTTTTTACTGACTTAAATATTTTAGATTTAAATATTTTTACTGACTTAAATCTTTTCTAAAAAGACTTAAATCTTTTTTACTGACTTAAATCTTTTCTAAAAAGTCTTAAATCTTCTAAGTCATTAAAAAAATCTTTAAATCTTTTTTACTGACTTAAATCTTTTTCAAAAAGACTCAAATATTTTTCTAATGACTTAAAATCTTTTTTTATTTCGGAATAAAGACTTAAATCACAAGTCAATTTGAAAAAGACTTAAACTTCAAGTCTTAAGTCAGCTTTCGAAATGTGACTTAAAATCAAATCATTTAAGTCATTAAAATGATTTAACTCTTTTCTAAAAAGACTTAAATCTCATAAAAGATTTAAATCTTCTAAAAGATTTAAGTCTTTTGTAAAAGACTTAAGTCATTAAAAAAGATTTAAATCTTTTCTAAAGACTTAAATCTTTTCCAAAAAGACTTAAATCTTTTTCTAATGACTTAAAAAAAATAATATAAATAAATTCTTTCGGAATAAAGACTTAAGTCACAAGTCATTTTGAAAACGACGTAAACTTCAAGTCTTAAGTCAGCTTTCGAAATGTGACTTAAAATCAAATGATTTAAGTCTTTTCTAAAAAGACTTAAATCTCATAAAAGATTTAAATCTTCTAAAAGATTTAAGTCTTTTGTAAAAGACTTAAATCTTTTAGAATGACTTAAGTCTTTTGTAAAAGACTTAAGTCATTAAAAAAGATTTAAATCTTTTCTAAAGACTTAAATCTTTTCCAAAAAGACTTAAATCTTAAAAGACTTAAATCTTTTTCTAATGACTTAAATTTTTTTTTTATTTCGGAATAAAGACTTAAGTCACAAGTCATTTTGAGAAAGACTTAAACTTCAAGTCTTAAGTCAGCTTTCGAAATGTGACTTAAAATCAAATGATTTAAGTCATTAAAATGTCATTTAAATCTTCTAAAAGATTTAAATCTTTTCTAAAGACTTAAATCTTTTCCAAAAAGACTTAAATCTTTTAAGACTTAAATCTTTTTCTAATGACTTAATTTTTTTTTTATTTTGAAATAAAGACTTAAGTCACAAGTCATTTTGAAAAAGACTTCAAGTCTTAAGTCAGCTTTCGCAATGTGACTTAAAATCAAATCATTTAAATGATTAAAATGATTTAAGTCTTTTCTAAAAAGACTTAAATCTCATAAAAGATTTAAATCTTCTAAAAGATTTAAGTCTTTTGTAAAAGACTTAAGTCATTAAAAAAGATTTAAATCTTTTAAAAGACTTAAATCTTTTTCTAATGACTTAAAATCTTTTTTTATTTTAGAATAAAGACTTAAGTCATATTTTGAAAATGACTTAAACTTCAAGTCTTAAGTCAGCTTTCGAAATGTTACTTAAAATCAAATAATTTAAGTCATTAAAATGATTTAAGTCAAAAAAAAGACTTAAGTTTTCTGTGAGCTTGCAGCTCTGATAGCAGTTCTTAACTTTTTACTAAATAAAACACTACATGAACAATAATGCTTTTATTTAGTTCAAAATAGAACAATAAAATTGCACTACACTTAACAATCTAAAATAAAATTATTGTTATTTCGCATTATACATTTTTACATTTTTAAAAACATGGTAAAATGATGTACAATATACAGCCGCTTTTTAAAAAATAAAATTGATTTGAAAAAAACAAAAAAAAAACGTTTAGGATAATACTGGATTAAACTTAATAAAGCACCGTGTGTACAAATAAAAACAAAGATAATAAAGACACTTTCCTAACTATAAATTGGAATGGAGGAAAAATTGTAAGATAAATGTTTTTTTTTAAGTTTTACCCTC